AAAATGGCAGATGAAATTCAGTGTTGACAAATGCAAAGCAGGGCCGCCCAGAGGATTCAGGGGGCCTGGGGCAAAGCGGGGGAGCTTGTACTCACTGGGCAGTGCTCCGAGTCTGCGGTGGTGGCGGGGGGCCCTTCAGTCGCTCCACGTCTTCGGCAGCGCTGAAGGGCCCTCTGCCACCGAAGACCCGGACCGCCGCCGGGTGAGGAAAGGGATTCTTGGCCAGGGCTCGTGGGGCCCCTGCAGGGCCCGGGGCTGGGGCAAATTGTCCCACCTGCCTCTCCCCCTCCCCCGCCCCCGGGCGGCCCTGATGCAAAGTAATGCACAATGGAAAACATAATCCCAACTATACATATAAAATGATGGGATCTAAATTAGCTGTTACCACTCCAAAAAGAGATCTTGGAGTCACTGTGGATAGTTCTCTGAAAACATCCACTCAGTGTGCAGCATCAGTCAAGCCAACAGAATGTCGGGAATCATTAAGAAAGGGATAGATAATAAGACAGAAAATATCATATTGCCTCTATATAAATCCATGGTACACCCACACCTTGAATACTGCCTGCAGATGTGGTCGCCCCATCTCAAAAAAAATAAATATTGGAATTGTAAAAGGTTCAGAAAAGGGCAACAAAAATGATTAGGGGTATGGAACGGCTGCCATATGAGGAGAGATTAATAAGGCTGGGACTTTTCAGCCTAGAAAAGACAACTAAGGGGAGATATGATAGAGGTCTATAAAATCATGGCTGGTGTGGAGAAAGTAAATAAGAAAGTGTTATTTACTCCTTATAATAAGTATTTTTTCTCAAAATGCACAGTCAACTTCTGGAACTCTTTGCCAGAGGATGTTGTAAAAGCCAAGACTATAACAGGGTTCAAAAAAGAACTAGATAAATTCATGGAGGATAGGTCCAGGATGGGCGGGAATGGTGTCCCTAGCCTGTATTTGCCAGAAGCTGGGAATGGGTGACAGGGAATGGATCATTTGATTCCCTGTTCTGTTCATTCCCTCTGGGGCACCTGGCATTGGTCACTGTCGGAAGACAGGATACTGGGCTGGATGGACCTTTGGTCTGACCCAGTACGGCCGTTCTTATGTAGTGCCAGTCCATCCAGCTTTAACTGAAATCTAACCTCCCTGGAACTGCCCCTTGAATGCCATGAGCCCCATAAGCGAGGCCCATAGCAGATCAGCCAGCACCTTGCATCACCGTAGGCTGAAGGAGACAACATTAAACACTTGTGTTGAGACTGTAAGCAGCGGGATGCTGGGAGTTAGAGCACTAGGCTCAGAGTCAGAAGACCCAAGTTCTAGTCCTGATGATGCTGTACATTGTTTGTTATTTGTAATGTGGTAGAACCCAAAGGCAGTTCCAAACAGGGAGCAGGACTCAGGGCCGGCGCTTCCATTTAGGCGACCTAGGTGGTTGCCTAGGGCGCAAGGATTTGGGGGGGGCGGCATTTTGCCGCCCTCGGCGGCAATTCGGCGGTGTGGGGTCCTTCCGCGCTCCGGGTCTTTGGCAGCAATTCTGCGGCGGATCCTTCACTCGCTCCAGGACCCGCCGCCAAAGTGCCCTGAACACCGGGAGCGCGGAAGGACCCCCCCGCCGCAGAATTGCCGACGATGACCGGGAGCGTGGAAGGACCCCCGCCTAGGGCGCCAAAAACCCTGGCGCCACTCCTGGCAGGACCCCATTGTACTAAAACATCCCTGCCCCAAGAAGTCGCAGTCTGGCATGTGATTAAAGCCACAGGAGCATTAGTGACTCACTCAGGGTCACACGATAAGCTGCTGAGTGACCTTGGACAAGACACTTCATCTCTCCATGCTTCAGTTTCCCCAGCTGGGAGCTGTAGCCACTTTGTATACATGCTCTGAGGTCACTGAAGGAAATTCCCTCAATAAGCGCCCAGTGCATTCTTTTCTTTCCCCTGCACCAAGCTTTCCTTTCACCTCTTTGCTCAATGCTGGATGCTGCTCCAGCTGAGGCAGTGGCCTTCCATGGGTAACATCCGCTCACTGTTCCGTGGCAGATAACACAGACCACTGGATGTTTGGACCCAAACAGCACTGAAGATCAGTGTAATCACAAGGCCAGTCCTGCTAGACACCTGAGTAACCCCTTTGACTTCAGGATTGCCTAGTGGTTAAAGCACTGGGACTCAGGAGAGCTGGGTCCATTTCCTGCCTTTGTCTCAGACTTTCTGCATGACCTTGGGCCAGACACTTAACATCTGTGGGCCTCAGTTTCCTCATCTGTAATGTGGAGACAATGCTTCCTCCCTACCTCGGATGGGCATTAGGAAAAGACCCTTTCTGGAGCAGGGAGTGTTTCTTACTATGTGTTCATACAGTGCCTAGCCCAACGGAGGCCTGGATCTCAGCTGGAAATTCTAGCAGCCACTGTAATATAGATACAAAGAACTTACAAGGCCCCCTGCCCCTCTGGTGAGGGTCCCATTGTGGGTAGCTGACCCAAGGGAAGGCTGCAGGATTGGGCCTATAGTGGGAGGTGAGTAGCTGTATTGTAGTCTGAACTATTGTGCAATGCAGAAATGGACTGTAGTAGCGTATAAAGGGGGTCTGCATTGGGCAAAAGTAGTCTGATCTTTTCATGCCAGCATTGGCCATGTCTTAGTTAAATGTATCCAAAATAAGATACAAGCATCTCTTAGATCAAGGTGGGGGCTGCTATTGTATCAAAGTTATGGCATGTGTAAGGCTCTTATCTTGTTCTTGTCATCCCTATAGCATCTGAGCACCACCCAATCATTAATGGATTTTACCCCCGCCCCCAGGTAGGGGGTATTAGCCCCACATACAGGATCTGAGGTGCAGGCTAGAAGATGTGACTTGCCCAAAGTCTATGATGGAGCCAGGCATTGAACTCAGGTCTGCTGAGACCCAGTGCAGGCAAGTCCCCTGTCCATTAGGCCATCCTTCCGCCTTTAAGGGGCTAACTATCGAATCTCAGTTGAACTTTCACTCTGATTTCTTTGCTCTGTTTTCTCACTCTCTTGCTGTTAATTTCTTCCTCTTAGCTGGGGGAGCCAGGTAGAAGCCTGGCCTGTTCTGACTGCATGTATAACACACTACATATGTGAGAATGGTGCCCTTTAGTGCCTGGCGTCGGCGACAAGAACAGCCCGCCACTTCTTCCCTGTTGATGTTGTTTCTCCCTGTAGCTCTAAGGGTCGAGGCCTGGGTATCTTGTGCTGACGTCTCCTAGTTCAAGCCCTGCTGCTGACCATGGTAATATCCATGTGACCACTTCTTATTGCACATGGGTGATGTTGGGTATGTTTGGCTAGCCAGTAGCCTGGGGTCATTAAAGGAGACTTGCATAGCAGGAGGTTGGATAATTAGGATTCTATGGAAATTTTAAAATGCCTGTGGCAATGCCGGTTGCATCCCAGAGCAATGCCACCTGATCGAGTCTCTCCTCCTATGTCTTTGCTAGGGCTCGAGCCATTAAATACCGTCAGAAAAACCAGGAAGCTGTGGGCGGGTTCTTCTCCCAGATTGGAGAGCTCTACGTGGTTCATCACCTCTGGGGTAGGTGGCTTTCTTTTTCCTTGAGTATTTATTAGCCATTGTCCGGCCTGAGCTTCAGCTGGTGGGTAACTTTGCTCTGCCAGCACCGCAGCACAAGGGTCCCACTTTTGCGAGGATGCATCCTAGAGCATGAAACTCCCATGTGCCCTCTCTCACCACTTAATCAACTTCAGACCCTGGCCGTTCCAAAAGGGAGATTTAGTTTGATTGCTGGGCCCTACATTTGTTCCCTTATCCCCTCCCCCGACATCCTCCTAACACATACACGCCATTAGCACTGGAATGGGTTACCTAGGGAGGTGGTGGAATCCTTAGAGGTTTTTAAGGTCAGGCTTGACAAAGCCCTGGCTGGGATCAGGGCCGGCTCTGGCTTTTTTGCTGCCCCAGGCAAAAAAGCCTCCGACCGCCCCCACCCCCTGCGTGGGGGGGGGGGGGGAGGAGGCGGCCGGAGCCCCGGGGGGAGGGCGGCGAGCCCCGGCAGGGGCTCCGCTCTCCCCCCGGCGGCCAGAGCGCAGGGGGCAGGGCGGCGAGCCCGGCCGTGGCCCCGCTCTCCTCGGCGCCCAGAGTGCTGCGCCACCCTCCTCCAGGTGCCGCCCCAAGCACAAGCTTGGTGGGCTGGTGCCTGGAGCCGGCCCTGGCTGGGATGATTTAGTTGGGGATTGGTCCTGCTTTGAGCAGGGGGTGGGACTAGATACCTCCTGAGGTCCCTTCCAGCCCTGATATTCTATGATCTCCCCTTTACCTTCATGCCTCTGTTTTCACCCTCACGGCTGCTTTCAGAGGCTGTTCCTTATTGCAGTGCTGAAAGCATTGTAAGACGGTTTATTATCACCAAGTGCCTTTAAAGCAGCTCCTGCCCCATTAGTTACATTTTGTATCTCCTGAATTGTACATCGCACTGAGAGCTGGGCAGAGAGCAGTGATTCCATTTCAGGGCGGGGTTTGAGATTTCAAAATTCGGTTTTATTCCGGCTCAGAACACCCTGCAGTATTTCTCAGTTCTGGTATTGTATTACTGGAGCACATAGGAGCAGGAATCCATTGTGCTAGGCATTGTACAAATGCAGAACAAAAAGACAAATTCTCCACCCAGCTCTACTGGGAGCCCCAGCTCTGGGGCAGTCCACCTGGTGGGCTGATGGGGAGCCAGGGACCTGACAGCCAGGAACTGGGAATCTGAACTCTCTGGGTATGTCTACATTGCAATTAACACACACACACCCCTCCGGCTGGCTTGTGTCAGCTGACTTGCAGGGCTGCAAAAACTGCAGTGTAAACATTCAGGCTTGGACTGGAGCCCAGACTCTGAGATCCTCGTCCCAGGCTCCTTCTCGAGCCTGAATGTCTACACCGCCCCGTAACCTGAGTCAGCTGACACGGGCCACCCAGGGGTTGTTAACTGCAGTGTAGACCTACCTACCCCCAGGCTCTGGGCTTTCTATCAGTCCTCCAGGCTGGCAGGAAAGCAGACAGGTTTGCAATGGCAGGCAGGGTTCCATCAGGTTCATGCTGGTTTCTGGTGGAATTCCACCAAAATCAACACAGTCACGCAAAACATGTCCAAATTCTAAGGAAAAAATGTTTCATCCACAATTTTCCTACTAGGCCTAGTTACCGCTGCTGCTTGGCAACCACAGCCCAATTGACTAGGGCAGATGCATGTGATTTTTAAAATAGGAACATTGTACATTTCCTTTGTGCCTGTCATCAGGAAGGATCCGTATGTGTTTTGCAAACTGCTTCCAAAGGGAGGGCCAACAAAATGCAGCCAACTCTGGGGTGGAACATGGTAGCTTGGTTTAATGATGCTTGGCAGCATACACAACACTTTAGGACAAGGAGTGAAAATAACTCTGTATCCAGTTGAAAGTGTAGGGAGGTAGAGTGTTGTTACTCGCACTGAAATCTGACGGAAAGACACTGGGGAGAACCCCTAGCTCCTGCAAAAAGCAATCAGCTGAGATGGCCACGAACCACTTCTGAGCATCCTACAAAGTGTCTGTGGCCAGCCCTGCCACTGCTGCATCCCTTCTCCAGTGGAAGAGCACCCATGTGCAATGAGTTTGGTGGGTCTCAGCCCAATTTGAAGTGGACAGTTATCCTCATCACAAAACCCACCATTAACACTGGCACCCATTGGCACCCTTGGTAGGATTGAATTGGTCCTGGAGAGTGAACCTTCCACTGCTTTCGTGTACGCAACCCTCCTATCAGAGACCCTCCTCCCAGCCCCCAACCCACAGCATTAAAGCATACCATGGAGACACACCAAGACTTAGACTGGGCTGTCCCCCATAGCAATGCTCCCTTTTGCCTGGATTTCTAGCTAAGCTGCTGCTGGCAGCAAACACTAGAGACCTCAGCAAATGGGGGGGATGCCCCCACCTCCACACCTGGCATTTTCTTCTTTCAGCCTACAAGGACCTACAGTCCCGAGAGGAGACAAGGAACGCGGCCTGGAGGAAGCGAGGCTGGGATGAGAATGTGTACTATACAGGTGAGTGCTTCTCTGGAGTGGCTGCTGCTGTGAGCTCTAATCCTCATGCTCCAGGGCCGAAGCCAGTTGTCAGCTGTGGTCAGGAAGAAAAGCCCCCTATGATACAGTGTTGCCCAGTGAGGTATATTGTGGGGATTATATGCTTTCCTATGAAATAGTATTGGCTGCTCACAGCCAGAAAGAGGATAGTGGAGCAGCTGGACTATGTCCGTTCTGTTGTGGCACATCCTCCATAGCCAGCACTCCACCTTTACTCCTTTTCAGTGTGCCTCCTGGAAGGGGCTGGAATCAGTGTAAATGAGAACTCTCCTATAATCAGTGCGCTGCAGTGCCTCCTGCTGGTAGAGTGGCGTAGCTGTGAGCGCCTCAGGAGCCAAAGCTGGGGCAGAGTTTACAGCCCCCTCTGCCCAGGGCTCCCATGCACAGTGATGTTTGTTCCTTTTGATTTGCAGTCCCCCTGGTTCGGAACATGGAGTCTCGGATCATGATCCCCCTGAAGATCTCTCCCCTCCAGTGACCCCTCCAGCGCAGGAGTCGGCGAACAGACAGGAGTGAGACTCACTGGGGTGTCTCTGCATCTCCCCCGGAGGAGTGTGTCCCCTTTTCTGTCTCTCTCTCTCTCTCTCTCTCTCTCTCAGTTCGAGGCCATGCTCTTAGCCCAGGTGCATCCCTATTCCCAGACTGCTCGGCTCTGTCGGGAGCACCGGTGGGAGATGGATGAAGTAGACTGAACCAGCACAAGGCTGCACATGGTTTCCTATCTCTGGGTCCCCAGCTCTGTATGAATGGACCATGGAGACTGAACTCCCCTTTGCCCTAACGCTGTTCTGGGGAGGCCGCTGGGGACTGATAGACATGACCATAGAGCACAGCATAGCTGAGCCATGCCCCTGTGGTGAGCATAGTGCAGACACCAAGCTAGCTAGACCAATCCTCGCTGCTCTCTGGGTGCCGGGGCAATGTTCAGGCATCTCCCCTGCAAGCCATTCCTCCCACCACTGGGGAGGGACTGCTGCTGGTCTCCTTTCCAGCATGCCACTGGGAGGGACCCTTCATCATGCCTGGTTGTGTCTGTTACCATGAATGTTAGCACATGGCTAGCCTGGTGTAGGGGAGAACTCCACCTTCCTCGCCCAGGTTGGAATTCCAGTTCCTGGCTATGGCGTCCTGTTCCCGGCGAATCTTGGCGTTACCTGTATCCTTGGGAACAGGAAGTCCTCCTGCCTGCTGATGGAACCAGACTGTACTGCCCCACATCTGCTGAGCCAGGGCCCTCCTTTGTACGGAGGTGTATGCTGGAAAGTGGCTGTGGAGCCCAGCATGTCCTTTCCATTCACCCTTTCATGTAATGGCTCCCAGATCCAATTAATTGACCATACAAGTCCAAAGGCTTTTATCTAGCAGCTGCTGCCCACTCCTGACCTGATGCCATGGCACTGGGTGCTGGGAAGGTCCGATATACAGGGTGGTGTATCCTGGTGGCTTTGGTGGGAGTGGAGGGCATGCAACAGCAGGCAGGATTGAGCCCTTGGTTCAGAAGCTGCAAAGGAAGCGGAGTCCTTCTCCCCCTTCCATTATCCCTGTGAATAATTGGAGTTTAGCTAACACTAGAAGCCACCTTCCAGAGCTGCGTTGGCTCAGCTAGCGTGAAAAGTACAAGCTGGGCTGTGTCAACAGATCTGCATCTTGTCTACTCTGGCAAAACTAGTACATGCAATACTCCAGCAGCGGGAGCAGTAGCCGTGTAGCCAGGACTTCTGCTGCCCTGTGGTCTAGTGCTGTTCAGATCCGAGACTAAGAGCCATGAGCTCTTTCCATGCTGCAGCTTCTGCTGGGCTGCAGTGGGTGTGAATAGAGGGTCCACTTGTCCCAGCACGTGCACAGCTCCAAGGAGCAGATACATGAAGTGAGGTGCCAGTTTTAATCACTTTTCTTACGCCTTAAGGCCCGTTCTTGCAATCCAATCCATGCACCAATGCAGAATGCCCTTGACTTCAATGGGTCTCCCTGCTAAATGCAATCTGATTGGAGGATTGGGCCCATAGGGTTTCGAGAGGAGCCTTGTCTCTCTCTTGAAGACTTAGTTTCTTCCTTGTGTGTGCAGCCCTCAGTCATAGTGGTGTTTGTACCTATCCCCAGCACGGAGGAGAGAGAGAGAGGAGAGGTGGTCATCAATCTACACGGGCCTTTCTGATAGAGGTCAATTCCTCTTGTACATTATTTATCTTAATTATGACTAATGGCTATATGGCCAAAAAAAAAAAAAATCTGTTTTGTGTGTGAAGCATTTTCCTTGTGGGAACTTGTGTGTGTCTGATTACAAATGTAACTAAATATTTCATATGCTAGCCTTGGTTTCTCTCATTGTGTGGAGTACAATGCAACCTGATGTGGGATGGGATCTTTGAGCAGGCGTCTTTTCCAACTTGCTCTACAGACATGTAAAGCAGGCTGTAAAGTCCAAACTTGCCCCCTCCTGGGAGGTTGCTGATTTGTGTTAGTAAAGCCATAATATCTGCTCAGATTTTCTTCCTAGGCTTGTCTGTTCCTAGGGTTCTTCTCTTAGGACTGCCCAGCCCACACCCTAGGAGGTCCTTTGTCCCCAAGAGAGCCACTCCCACCTCTCTCAGGTCCAAGCGGGGTAATGAGCCACCGGCCTCAGAGAGTCAACAGAAACCACTTAATTTTTTCTCAGCAGAATGAGCACCCGCTGGCTTGTTCAAGGGACAAACTATCCCAAAGCATGCTCAGAACCATGTAGGATAGTGATGAGTACCTGGTGCACTGTTGTATAGACATTGTATGGATACTCTATAGCTTTCAGGTATAAGGCCATTTAAACAAAGGATTGAGAGGCACAAGGAAGAGAAGATCAGTAGACGTTAGAAGGCAGAATGACAGAGAGAGACGTTTTTAGATGGCAGAGGCTATGAAAGGTTTTGTACCATATGTGGTGAGGTTACAGGAGACAAGAGAAGATGGAAAAAGCACCGAGTACCCCTGTCCTAATAAGATGGCTAGTGCTGCCTTGACGACCTTTGGGTGCTGAGCAGAGGTTGACACTAGGTAGAGCATCTAATCTAACCCCCTGCATATCATAGGCTTCCTGTATAGTACAATAGTTACTTTTTGGGCACACACATTCCAGAAAGGCATCTAGTCTTCATTCAATGACATCAAGAGATGGAGAATCCACCACTTTCCCTTTTAGTGAGTGCCAGGGGGCTTCATTTCCCCTTCCACTAGCTCCCCATTTACAGTAAGCCAGAGCAGTACCTGCAGCAGGGAGCGGGAGTTGCTGATGGCCTCAGAGGCACAGCCCCTGCAGTGTCTCAGGCACCTGGCGCAAGTGCCGGTTGATGCGGAGCTGGTGCATCACTTTGGCCGTGACGTCCTCCTGCTGCAAGGGAATGAGAACCTGTCAGAGACTCAAAGGTCCCGAGGAATCAGGGGGAATTAAGGGCACCTGGAACCAGCAGCATTTCCACCCAGCACCTGCCCACCACTGAGGGATGGATTCACCTCCTGCCCACCAGAATGGAGGCTTGTTGTCCTTTCTAGTAACCTCCAGTGCCAACCCCCTGATACCAGACACCTCTGTGTTCTTGGGGAACCAGGGTGCAGTCTCCAGCCTGATTCATGAAAGACACCCCCCCACCACCACCTCTGCTTAAACTAAAACCCATCAGAGGAAAAAACTTGCAGAGA